TACCTGCTTGGATGTCATGCTTTGTAATCTAGGCGCCTGCGCCTCAGGATCATAGTCTGCCCCTAAGTATACTCGTTTCCAAAACAGTGTTCAAACTCTGTTGTCTGTGCCTAAGAATCTTAGTTTCCATAACTGTGCCATAACCAACGATCTTGGTTTCCACAGCTGTGTCAATGGCTATGCTAATCTCTTCTACCCCCACCTCCTTGTGTGAGTCAGGAGGCTTGTGTGTTGTTCTTTCTGGTCTTGCCTCCTTTTCAGTTTGTTTTTTTTTTCCTATTCTTGTCCTCCATCAGGTGAAGCTGCTGTCCAGGTACTATCCAGCACTGGATAGTGCTGTCCAGTACTATCCAGGTACTTTCCCCCACATCCAGCCATGATGCCAAGCCTGCTCAGAACCACCTTGGGAGACATTCTTTCACGTTCAATGGTTTTCCATGCTTGACATCGAGCATGACAGCAGTGGGCATGGAAGGGAAAGTTCAGCCCTGTCATCTCAATGTGGCTTAACAGAGCTGGCACACCATCGCAATACATGTTTGTCTCCCCACTTGACAGGGGCTTCTGCGGGAAGACAGTTGTATTCTATAGAACTCTCTAAGTTGCACATTCTTCACTTTGCTCCAGAATGCAAAGCCGGGAACTCAATATTCCTGAGTGTCTTATAGTAATTTTATTTTTCTAATTGTATGCACACACACACACATACACACACAGGCATTTTATGTTCCCATGGCAAATATATTTCCACGGATAATTAGGTGATTTTCACTAAACAAGTGGAGGGGGGTTGTCTGCAAGTGCATTTAATTGCCAGGATATTTGCATGTCACTTTGATACGGAACCCTGAGTACTAATGGTGCTGATGTGAATGAAGGTGAATATCATTAATGAAGGTGAATATCCGTTGAGTACCTGGTAAGTGGCTGCCCAGTGCCTTGCTCTCCTGGACCCCAGGACCACGTGGCTGCTGTGAATGGGCAGAGGCTTAGTCCTGTCTGCAGCAGCTCAGGTGTCAGTGCAGGAGTAGGGGGGTCCCACAAACAACCATGGCGCATCAGACTAGTAGTCAGGTAGAGGGGAAGTGGACGGGGAAGGGCTGAGCTCTCGTTAGCTCTCTGATGCTTAGACTTTCTATTCATGTTTGTCCAACTTCTCTAAATTTCCCCTGAAGTGTTGATCCAATTTACCTTGTCTGCTGTTAGCACTGGCACATGAATAAGGGAATTTTCTGGATCTAGCCTCCGTAGTCTCTTGCCTCCTATCTTCATTTCTCTATCTTTGTGTCATGCGTGCTTAAAGAATTCCTCAGTTTGATCAGCCAGATTGCAAATCTTGCCCCTCTGTTGTTTTTTAAAATTATGATAAATTCCACATAATAAAAAAATTGCTGTGTTTACCTTTTGGAATGTGAGGTTGAGCTGCATCAAGTGCTTCCAACATTTAAAACCCATGCTGCCTGCAGCGTCTTTTACTCCCAAGAATTCTTTACTATTTTTCATCTGATTCTTTTTCACAACAATTTTATGAATGGGCTAGTCTTCTGGATCTTTCTAAGGATAATAATTATTGTTTTAAATTTTATTTTCTGTGTTCTCTTTAGCTCTGTTTTCTCAGAGAGGGAAAACTTGCCTCTGAGGAGTTTGTATTTTTTTTTTTTTTTCATGCTACCTTTTCCTTTGAAAATCCGGTTACTCTTGACTGCATTGAAAGTTCATACTTACGAGTGTAGACCAGAGGCTCCTAAACCTGCCTGTACATTGGAATCACCAGGTATAATTAGTACAACTTTTGAAGCTCACCAGGGGGCCCTAATGTTCAGTCAGTGATGAAAATTGTAGTGGAATGGAAATCAACAGTGTGGGGCCCGGGATGGGGTTCCAGGCTGCAGCAAATTTACCTCTGTGTCTGCCCAAAAGCCGAGAATAGCTTCATTGCCCTAGACTGCTCTCTCAGACTTTGGACTTCCTCAGGGAATCTGTTTGGAAAATTCCCTCCTCCTCCTTCTTTTAAAGCATTCTGGCCTTTTTAACTATTTAATACGTTTCTTTATATTTATTCGAATGCCCCACCAATACACTTTCATCTGCTTTGTTGTTCTCAGATATCTTCAGTATCTTCCGAAGAATCTTCTTACATCCACTGATAATAAAACCTACAATTTCCAAGCACAACTATGTATTTATTCATATATATGATGAGCTATATATATGTGACATAAATAAATAAAAATATATATAATTTGTTTTTTTTTAGTGGGAATTTAGTTGTAGAAAAGGAGAACAAAGGTTCTCAGACAAGCATCCCAAAACAGAGATCTTTACTTTAGTCTCTAGGATTTGGCATTTCTGGAACTTGGGATAGTATCATGAATCTAGCTTAATAGATCATTAGCCAATTAATTTACCCTAATTTCTTACAGCTCTACTCTTGGATAATTTTCAAGTCAGTGTTAACATCTTCATTTAACCTTATATATTACAAATTTAAGAACTCATGCCTTTAAAAAAAACTAGGTACAATAACAAAAGTAAATAAAAAACAAAGGCTGCAACACTTAAGTATTGTGGGCTATGCGTCTCACTTATTCCATTAGGATTTATGAAGTAAACATCACACCATCAGAGGCGCTGACTCTCGGAATGTGAACACTGGGAGCCGTCTTCATGACAATCTCATCCAATTCCATACATTTTTCAGTGAGAAAGCAACAATCGGAGTCTCTTGGATGCACGCTGTTTACACTACAGCTGTAGCAAGATCTGGTGACATGGCTCTAAGTCATAGGTGTCTCTGCATGTTGCCCAGATCTCTGTCTGAGAGCTGGCCTCTCCTGCAATGCTGGGATCTTGCTTTCCCAATCCCTACGTGGTATGGTTGATACTGAAATGGCACCTCAAACTTAAAATGGCTTATGCTAGCTTTGTACATCCCCCGCAAGCCTGTTTTTGCCCAAGTCATTAACCAAACTATTATGTTACCCTGATTTACCTGTTTGTCATCCAAATATCCAACCTCTTGGCCAATCATGTTGACTCTACCTGGAAGATTTAAGTCCAGTTTTTCTGTCTGTCCATCCACTGCCTGGGTCTAATTTGTCACCTCACCTGCTCCCACTGGGCTCCAAATCTATCTTCCATCTCTCTCTTTTTTTTTTTAAAGATTTATTTATTTATTTGTTTATTTATTTATTTATTATACAAGAGCTAGGGTACAGGCCAGAGGCGTGGGAGGGTGAAAGGATTCACCAGAGACAGAGCAGGGAGCAGAACAGGCAGACGACAGAACTACACTGCTGAGGGGAGCAGCGAGTGAGACAGGAGAGGTCTGCTGAACCATGTGGGATTCTTGCCAGCTAGTCGGGATCTAAATGGCACTGCAGAGGCTGCAGGTTAAAGTAGCCCTAGCATACTCCTCTCTGCAGGGTTCCCAGTACCCTCTTTGTCTGAATTCCCCCAGGAGAAAGCAGCATTCCTGAGAGCTGGGGCTTGGTGGTGTTCCCAGCTTGTCTTGTTTAGCTGCTGTTTCTGTTATGGGACAATGATTCTGAAGTGTAAGATTTTTTTTTTCTCCCCATACCACCCAGCAATCCTCTGGCACCAGCGTGGCATCCCATGCTCTGACACGCTATGCCTGTGGAAAGCATCAGATCCCAGAAGTTAAGGGTTCAGTCCAACCAGACTTCCCTCCACTTTAGCTGCCAATCTTGTCCCTGTCCCTACCCCCACCCGCTTCTTGCCTCTGAACAACCCGCTGCCTCAGGTTCCATTAAGTTTCTATTGCGGATCAGAAAACATTTTACTTGCTAGCTTTCCAGTTTATTATAAAAGAATGTAACTCTGAACAGCCAGATGGAGGAGATGCAACGGGCAGGGCATGGGGAAGGAGCTCCTGTGCCCTCTCCTGAAAGGGAACCATTAATCAAATGAAATCTTTCCTGTTTCCTGCTAAAAGAGTCACAGGTCTGGGGCAGTAGATAATGCAAAGTAAATGTAAACAAGTTTTGCTCTCTACAGCCTATCTAGATGAGACTACCTAAAGGAGGTTACATTTTAACAAGGCCAGAGAGCTGCCAGGCTGATTGATCTCCCAGGGCATCCTTAAATTCCTGTCTTTTGTCACAAACTTTTGTGCTTACTGACCAATGTTATCAATGTAAGATGGTTATGTATAAAAGAAACCATTTGTCCCTGGACTGGTGCTCAGACCTTACCGGGCTACCCAGGTCTGGGACCTCAAGCATGAGTAATAAAGCTTCTCCTGACCTCACCATTCCTGAAGTACCGCTTGTTCTTCCCCTGCCTGGGTAAAAAGCTAGAATTATTTCTACAACACTCCAAGGGTGTCATTCTCCCCAAATCTCCATGTGCTCAACAGATCCAGATGCTCTCTGAGCCTGGGGCTTATAAGGGCTCGTATTCAGGCATGATTGATGAACTCACTGGTCACTGGTGACTGATTAAAACTCAGCTGTGTCCCACAGAGGGTGAGGTGGGAATGTGAATGTTCCAATCACATAGTTGGTTCCCCTGGCAACCAACCCCCACCCTTAGATGCTGCCTCAAAGTCACCTCATTTACATAAGTCCACCAGTGGCTGAAAAGGGCTTGTTCTTTTCACTTTAGGAAATTTCAAGGGTTTCGGGAGCCCTGTGCCAGATACGTATTTTTCAAAAATGAAAATATCAACAGGTCTTTTCCTACCAGAACGCTAGATCCATGAAAAGGGCTGTGGTCATCAACAATTTTTCGTCGTGTCCCCCGTGGCTGGATGGTGCCAGCCACATAGTGGATGGTGAGTGTTTGCGGAATGAGAAACATGTATGTGACTTGTTCAAGGCCCAGCAGCAGGGCCTCACTAGAACTCAGTGGTCCAGAAGGCCAGCCAGGAGTCCATCAGAGCTCATCCTGGTTTGGGCAGTCCAGAATCTGAAAGCTTAGCTGACAGAAGGCATGGATGCCCAGACCCCTGCAGAGCAGCTTAAGGGAGGTTTACATACCACGGCAGAGACGTCAGAACAGATGTAATTCCACAAGGTTCAATGGGTCACGCAGGGTGGAAGGCTTCTGGGAGGCGAGCTGAGCAAGGCCTTAGTGGAAATAACTGAATTTGGACTGGTGAAGAGCAGGTGGGGAAAGATTCCAGCTTTGAGGAGCAGTGTGACTCATGGAATCTTGGAACCTTAGAGCGGAATGTAGATGGGAATGAACAAGGCCTGTTCTGAGAAGGGTAAGGAGACCTCTCGCCCTGGGGCTGGGCCAGGAGTAGGGGAGGGGAGGAGTTAAATCAGCAAGTTGGTGCCAGTTCCCCTGAAGGCCTCAAGGGACCTCGGCCTGACGAGCTAGCTTTTGACTTTGTAAGCAACAGGGGACTCCTGTAAGATCCTGGGTAAGGAAATGAAGTGGGACGGGTCAGGGTGAAGTATCCACTTTGACAGTGTGTGTGGACTGGCTGAAGAAAGATTCTCTGGGGCAACCAGATCTCCCTACAGGGGGATACCTCTAGGGAAGGAGGGCATCCATGGAAATGGAGGGAACCAGCAAGCTTGAGGCCCTGTTGGGTTAGATGGGGGGAAAACAGGGTCCATGAGGTCTTAGTCCAAGAAAGGCGAGAAGTTGTGGTCCTTCGTGTGTAATCAGTACTTGGTTTGGGGATCACCAGTCTACTGTGAGACCTGCTGTCATTCCCTGAGAAATGCAGGTACTTCAGCCAAACCTTTCTCTCTGCCCTGGGCCTTCCACATCAGTGATGTACCCTAGAAACGGCAGGAGGAGAGGCTTGACCTATGGCATCACTGATTTTCTTACCCCATCACTGTCCCTCCCTGGGCAGGATTCTGGTAAACATTGTGGTCTGTGACAGGATCCCTGTGGTGATGGGAGAGCCTGGCAGGCTGGATGGGGTGTGCCTGGTACAGGAAAGGAGGGCCATCTGAAAAAGGGTGGTGAGGTAGAGGGAAACAATTTGAGCCAAGCTAGGGGAGTGACTGGCTGGCAGGTAGAGGAGGGAGGAAGTGAGGGCCAGCAGCAGTGGCCAAGGCGGCCTCTTAAGAGATTATAAAGTGTCCAGTGCAGAAAGCTAGAGAAGGGGCTGCTGTCAGGAGCGAGAGGCCACTATCCCTCCTAATATAGACAGCACCCAAAGGGGCTCCTCTCAGCCCACTGGCCATGGTCTCCCTGAACATAAATTCCTGCTCCTTGTCTCTGGATGTGTAAAGTCAGAAGCCACACCTTCAGAGCATGGCGCATCTGGTGAGGGGCTCAGGGCAGAAACAGGGTCTCCCCAGCACCTTATGCCATAAGCATATCCCCCCAATACCCACCTTCACTCCCTCCTTACCGCCCTCTGATAGGGAGTCAGCGCTGAGGGAGCCCTTTGCTCCTGCAGATGCAGACACACACTCCCGCCATTTCTGGGACACTCTCCCCGGAGTTCCCATTGCAACAACCATTCTAAAGTCCCTGTCATTATGGGGGGTCATAGGAGTCACCTCAAAATTACAGCCCACAGGGATAGCTGAGCCCTGAGTGTTTGTTTACCTGAGGGGAAGAGACTCAAATGCCTATAAATCAAACCTACCTCTGCTACAGCGAACTACTCCTCCCTTCAATTAAAGAAAAAAAAATCCTATTCAGGGAAGTAAGGAAAGGGGGCGATGATTATGAAGGAAGAAGCCTAGTAGTTCACTCAAGAAACGAATGTGAAAGTAGGTGGGGGCGAGGTGGAGGGGCTTGGGGAGCATGTGGGGACATCTGGGAATCACTCTCCTCCTTGGTTTCCCTCTGTGAGTAGGATCTAAAATTCAGAGCTTTGGGATGCCATGGCGCGTGTGGATTTTCATTCTAGTTGATTCCAGGCAGAGGCTCCTAAGCCCGGGTGCCCGGGACCGTTCCTCCACCCCGGGGCGAAGCAGCGGTGGCCTGGCAGAGGCCCACGGTGCCCTGGTGCCCCTTCTGTCCGCACTTTTCTCTTCCCTGCCGGGGACAGGGCGTGTTGGCAACGTTCTGGCCACGAACTGATGCTGCTGGGAACCGAAACCAAACCGCTGTAAAGTTTCCAGCGAGGACCCTTGTCGGTGCCCGCTACCTCTGGTGTCCAGCTCAGGCGCGGCGCGGGCGGGGAGCCTCGGGGCGACAGCCGGCCCCGGCGGGTGCCAGGACAAGGGGGCACTGTGGCGCGCGCCGCCCGGCCCCGCCTGCGTCCTGCCCGCCTGCGGCCGGGCGGCGGGGGCTGGCGGCGGGCCGGCGGGCTGGGCTGGGCTGGGCGGGGCGGGGCGGCGGGGCGCTGACCGCGGTCTCCGTGCTCCCGCAGGCGGGGAGCCCGCGCCGCCGCGCCCGGGCCGCGGGCGATGATCACCTAGGAGGCTGGCGCGGAAAGGCGCGCGCGGCGGAGGAGCCGGGCTCGGCGACACGCGGCCATGGAGCGGGAGCCGGCGGCGGCCGAGGAGCCCGCGCGCCCCGGGAGGCCGCGGCGGCGCCGGGAGGGCAGGACGCGCACGGTGCGCTCCAACCTGCTGCCGCCCCCCGGCCCCGAGGACCTCGCGGCGGGCGCGGCCAAGGGCGCACGGCGGCGGTGCGGGGTCACCCAGCACCTGGCCGACAACCGGCTCAAGACCACCAAGTACACCCTGCTGTCCTTCCTGCCCAAGAACCTGTTCGAGCAGTTCCACCGCCTGGCCAACGTGTACTTTGTTTTCATCGCTCTGCTCAACTTTGTGCCCGCGGTGAACGCCTTCCAGCCCGGCCTCGCGCTAGCTCCGGTGCTCTTCATTCTGGCCGTCACGGCCTTCAAGGACCTGTGGGAGGACTACAGCCGCCACCGCTCCGACCACGAGATCAACCACCTGGGGTGCCTCGTCTTCAGCAGGTGAGCGGGGCGCGTGGCGGGAGCAGCAGGGCGCAGCGCGGGTTCCATGCCTGCCGGCTGTGCGCTCCAGGGAACTCCGTGCAGGGTGTGGTGTGAGTGTCACCAAGCTGGGGGACCCAGAGAGTGGGCCAGAGTCGGGAGGGAGGGTGGGTCTCTAGGGGTCAGGGGCCTCGTGCCAGGCTCTCCGAGAGCCGGGAACCCTGCTGGGGCGCACCGGGGTTACCCTGGTTGTCACTCAGACTCTATGTCCTGAACCAAAATGATCCCAGGGCTGGAATCCAGCGGCTGCTGGACACCCTCATTCCCGGACTTTATAAGTAAAGGAGGGAAACCAATTCCAGGGCGTCCTGTCCTAAAGTCCCGGCTTCCTCTTGGGCCAGCCTCCCTGGGTCAGGGTGCTCAACAACTTTAACAATCAAAAGGAGAATGTAAAACTAAGCTTGTCTTGGGACGACTGCGTGCAAGAAAGTTTGATACCGCGCACAGACCAGATAAATAAAGGTCAGGGGAGGAACAGAAATAGCCATCTATGGACATGAGCCTCAGCAAGGTGCCCAGCTGAGCACTATCGCATAATTGACTTTAGTTTTCTTACAATTAACCCCAGCTTCCAGATGGAAAAACTGAGACTTTGAAAGGTTTGGGAGCCCTACCCAAGGTTGGTGCCAGGGACTCTGGCTCCATTGGGCTGCTTCTGCACCTCCTCTCTCCCTACACCTCCCCAGAGGACCCTGTTCAGTGTGCCAGCTGTCTTTTCTTTCCTTACACTGCCCATCCCAAGAAAACCACTTGGCTGCACATCCACATTGGAACTGTGTCTGGGGTGGAGCCCTCCTTGTGTCGCACCCCTCCATCCAAAGCTCAGCCCTTCTTCCCCTCCTGTTCACCTTGTTTGAGTCCTGGTGAAGGGGCTGATGTGAGCTTTCAAGTGGAGGGCATTAACCTTAATTAGCTTTCATCATGGTTGAGGGGGTTCAGTGAAACCCCTTGCATGTTCAGCAGCAGACTGTACCCTAAAAGTGAGTCATGGTAGTTCCAGCCTCTTAGAATAGCTTGGATGAAGACCATGAATACTCCTTCTGGTCTTTGAGTATTCCAGAGCCACGTAGCAGCACTGTTTGGTCTTCATCCTTATTTTGCAGATGACAAAACAGAGGTTCAGAGAGGTTAAGTAACTTGCCTAAGGTCACACAGCTGATATGTAGTGATCCCGGAATCTGACAGCTTTTCCAGTATTCCCATGTTTGTGCCTTTTGGATTTATTTAAGAGTCATTTGAGGAACTTGTTAAAAATAATTGTCCTCAGACTCCATCTCTGTTTCAGATCAAGCTCATAAAGAATTGTACCCAGAAATCTGGGTATTTAATCAGCACAGAGGTGACAGTTATATAATTACCTGCACTTTGAGTAATGCTTTCTTGCTTCTTCTTGGGGTGCCCAGCAAGATAATGTCCACGGAAGGGGCCTCAGGGTTTCCTGGCTCATGTTCACTAGAAGCTTAAAGCCAAGAAAGGAGGGACGCACCCCTTACACAGATGTCCTCAGTGTTCCCAGCGTGCAGACTCCAGGCTGCCGTCTGCCTGCCATCTGCACCCACCGAGTGGGACTCTCACAGGTTTGAGTCTTTGAACACATACCACTTCCTGTTATTACTGAGCTGGTAGCTCCTGTAACCTCCTTTTTATAAATACTTAGGTCTCAGGAAATAAGAGTTCATTTTCAGTCGACAAAATGCTTTCAATCCATTATGTCCTTTGACCCTTATAACAGCTGCACCCCCAACGTGCAGATGAAGAGACTGAAAGGGAAACCCAAAACAGTTCTCTAGACTCTAGTACCTCGAAAGGCTTCATGGGATATTGAAACCTTCATCTGCCCCTTGGCCACACCTCCAGGTTCCCTTTCACATCTGCCCTGACCTGGATTCCTGAAGAGTCAGTCCTGTCCACAGTGGCTGCTTCTCAGGGATAGTGTTGCTTTTGGGAGAAATCCCCCCAACACCTCCCAAGTCCCAAGTTAAATTCCTTGAATGCTTTCCCAAGGAGGGAATGGGCTTTCTACTGGGGTGGGTGGTGAGCACATCTGCATGGGTGTGAGGGGTGGTGGTGTGTGTGGAGAGGACCTCTATTCCAGGGCCTTGCTTCTATTTAGAGGTCAGGTCCAACTCTTCCAGACCCAGAACGCCTGGACTTGAATGTGTAGATTTCCCACGCCCCCCTTGGCACTCTGTCGCATGTGAGTGGCGTGTGCCGCCGTTGCACTCCAGGCTCTGTGCCCCAGTTGTGTGCTGT